CAAGGACAGTTTTTGACTTTCAAAAAATGTGCCGTCAAGGTTTGAGTTTGAATCGTCCTTCAACTGATTGACCAAAGTCTCAGTTGTGTACTGCGGCGGTCGCCAGACTTCGCATCAGGGGAAGTGTAACGGAACCTGCGAAAAAAACAAGGCGCTTCGAACACAGGATGGTATAGCTGAATGGCCGCATTTCACCCAGGCAAGCAGCTCGTATCTTGTATCATGAGAATCTTTAGGACCCCCAAGCAAACCCTTTCCGTTGCGATCAGAACCGCCATGAATTCATGTTTTTGCCTACGGGTTGAAAACCGTCCGAGCGTTTTAGGCATTTTTATATATGTTCCTTGGGGTGGGGTGCGGTGGGGTGGGGTGGGGTGGGGCAATAACGTTCACGTACTTGCGCACTCCCATGATGTTACGCCACGGCACGTTCACTTGCACGTGCGCGCATACGTCATGCTACGTTGAAGATGTGTCACGTCACGCAGGGGTGGGGTGGGGCAATAACTTTCACGTACTTGCGCGCTCCCATGATGTTACGCCACGGCACGTTCACTTGCACGTGCGCACATACGTCATGCTACGTTGAAGATATGTCACATCACGCAGGGGTGGGGTGGGGTGGGTTGGGGTGGGGCAATAACGTTCACGTACTTGCTCAGATGGCGCAAAGTGCTACCCTGGATTGACATCGGCTAACAAGCTGATACATTTTGCCTGCTCACATCGCAAAAACCAATTTGTGAAAAAGATCCGCAGACATGCTGGAAAAACCTTCTGGGTTCATACTGGCACCATCGACTCGTGCTGGCGTATGATCAAAGCCAGTGTTCCCGATCAGTTGACATCTTGCCCAGAAAACGAACAAAAATTGAATGACCTCATTTTGGACGTACGTTCGCACATGGCAGTGGCGATGGGAGGCAAATGTAGTTGGAAAAGCCCTGTTGGAGAAAACAGGTGCGTACTTAGCGAAGATGTAGAGATCACCGGAAAAAATGGCTGCCGCTGAGGTTTTGGGCACGCTGACTTCCCAAAAGGAACCTTTTTCGCACTCCGACATGTCAACTATATACAGTAAATCCCAATGAAAATTCAAAATCACAATAGAATTGACCTTCATGGACAACATAAAAACATGAAAAAACACTGCGAAACGCATGATTGACTTCTTGCCAGTCACATGAAAATGCTGTTTTTACTCGGCCCATTTCCAACCCGGCGGGATGTTTTTCGTGGCCTCCTCTTGTTTAGGCCTGGCTTAGCAACCCATTGTTGTTGCTGCTGCAGCTGCTGCCGCTGTTGCCGCCGTTGACGCTGTTGCCGCTGTTGCTGTTGTTGCTGATGGTGGTGCCATATACACGCATTTACTTCATTACAGTCTCTGCGGGCCATATCCACCACTTCATCACTCACACATCACGCGTTGGTGTTTCCCGCTTCCCATCTGATCATCTCTGGCTTGTGGGTGATCTTCTCGTGCTTGGGTCCGACAGAAGTTCTGAGTTGATCTTTGTATGGCGGAGATGCTGGGCTCACGCATATTTTATTCATCCATCGATCGATCTATTTATTGGTCTATCGATCTACCAATCTAAACCTATTTATCGACCTAGTGATCTAGCGATGTATCGATCTATCGACCGACCCATCAATCTATGGATCTATCGGTCGATCAATTGACCCATCTATCGGCCTAGCAATCTATCGATCTATCCATGGGTCCAAATTTCGTATATCACAATTATGAATTATGATCATGAGATATTAGCATCTATTGTGATTATATGATTATCATATCCTAGGATACAATAATCAGATCTTAAAATCGCATATTCGTTTGCAGAACGTCAGCGGCTCCCCGTTTTGGCGAGTCGCTCGCTCCGCGAGCCGCGAGCTTCCAAGGTCACCCAGGCAGATAGGTGCGCACCCAATGGGCGATGTGTGGATGGGTTTGTCTTGGGGAATAATTTTGTGGTGTCACCAAACATGGCTGGCTGGAAAATCCCGGTGGCCTAGCCATGGAGGTCTTTAGGTGGGATCTTCATAAAGCCGCTCTTGTTTCCAGGAGGGCCATGAGCTTTAAATACTTAAAACAGATTCTTTAAACGTATCAAGATGATGAAGCTTGGTAGCTCGTTGTCTTCAATATAGCGATTCCTGTGCGGTAGTTTCTGCACCAGCCTGGTACTTCGGGTATCTTTTGGTTCTTTTTTTTGTCACACCCAACTGATATGTGTAAGCGCACGGGGTTTCTTGTGCACGCAAACGCCCACACACACTCAAATCATCTCAAATTTATTTGTTTGTCTATGTATGTGTGTATGTATGTACGCATGCATGCATGCATGTAATGTATGTAATGTAATGTAATGTAGTGTAATGCAATGTGATGTAATGTATTGTAATGTAATGTAATGTGATGTTATGTACGAATGTAGTGTATGTAATGAAATGTAATGTAGTGTAGCGTAGTGCAATGTAATGTAATGCAATGTAATGTAATGTAATGTATGTGAGGTAATGTGATGTGATGTTGTGTAATGTAGTGTAATGTAATGACATGGAATGGAATGGAATGTAATGTATGTAGTGTATGTCATGTATCTAATGTATGTAATGTATGTAATGAATGTAATGAATGTAATGTATGTAATGTAATGTGATGTGATGTGATGTAATGTTTGCAATGTATGTCATGTATGTAATGTATGTATATTATGTAATGTATGTAATGTATGTGATGTAATGTAAGAAAATGTAATGTAATGTATTGTAATGTAATGTAACGTAATGTTATGTAATGTATGTATGTAATGTATGTAATGCATGTATGTATGGTATGTATGTTATTGTATTGTAATGTAATGCAATGCAATGCAATGTCATGTAATGGTATGTAATGCAATGTATGTAATGCAACGTAATGTACGTAATGTATGTGATGTATCTAAGGTATGTAAGGTATGTAAGGTATGTGAGGTACGTAGGGTATGTAAGGTATGTAAGGTATGTATGGCCTGTACGGTATGTACGGTATGTATGGTATGTATGGTATGGTATGTATGGTATGGTATGGTATGTATGGTATGGTATGTATGGTATGGTGTGTATGGTATGTATGGTGTGTACGGTATGTATGGTATGTATGGTATGTATGGTATGTATGGTATGTATGGTAAGTATGGTATGTATGGTATGTATGGTATGGTATGGAATGGAATGGAATGTACGGAATGTTTGGTATGTATGGTATGTATGGTATCTATGGTATGCATGGTATGTATGGTATGCATGGTATGTATGCATTTGTTTTGTATTGTATTGTATTTTATTGTATTGTATTGTATTGTATTGTGTTGTAATGCAATGCAAACTAATGTAGTGTAATGTAATGTAATCTAATGTATGTAATGTATGTAAGGTATGCAAGGTATGTATGGTATGTACGGTTTGTATGCTATGTATGGTATGTATGGTATGTATGGTATGTAGGGTTGGTATGTATGCTATGTCTGGCATGTATGGTATGATATGGTATGGTGTGGTATGGTATGGTGTGGTATGTAATTATGCATGTATTTGTGTAATGTATGTGTGTATATGTTTGAATGTATGAATGAATGAATGTATGTATGTATGTATGGTATGGAATGTAATGTATGTAATGTATTTATGCATGAACGTTAATGTATTAATGCCTGTTGTGTATGCTTTGTATGTTTTGTATGTTATGTATGTAATGTCTGTTATGTATGTTATGTATGTTTTTTTTTTTAATGTATGCATGTTGTGTATGTAATGCATGTAATGTATGTATGTAATGCATGTAATGCATGTAATGCATGTAATGTATGCAATGTATGTAATGTATGTTATGTCTGTTCTGTATGTTATGTATGTTATTTATGTACTGTATGTAATTTTTGTAATGTATTAATGTATGTCTGTATGTATGTACGTACGTACGTGTGTATGTATGTATGTATGTAGGTAGGTAGGTATGTATGTATGTATGTTTGTATGTAAGTATGTATGTAATGTAATGTATTGTAATGTATGGTAATGTATGGTAATGTATTGTAATGTATTGTAATGTATGTATGTATGTACGTCTGTCTGTCTGTCTGTCTGTCTGTATGTATGTATGTATGTATGAATGTATGTATGTATGTATGTATGTATCTATGTATGTATGTATGTCTGTTATGTCTGTTATGTCTGTTATGTATGTTATGTATGTATGTATGTATGTATGTATGTATGTAATGTATGTAATGTATGTAATGTATGTAGTGTATGTTATGTATGTTATGTATGTATGTATGTATGTAATTTTATGTTATGTAATGTAACAACGTAACGTAACGTAACGTAACGTAACGTAACGTAACGTAACGGAACGGAACGGAACGGAACGGAACGGAACGGAACGGAACGGAACGGAACGTAACGTAACATAACGTATGTATGTATGTATGTAATTAATGTATTAATACTGTATTAATGTATTAATGTATGTATGTTTGTTTGTTTGTTTGTTTGTTTGGTTGCTTGTTTTCATATTCATATATCAATCATTTTTGCACGTGCATGCGCACACACATGTATACAGTATATGTGTACAATGGAATGCAACTATGTGAATGTTTCCACATCCGGCTTTTCCTTACGGAATTCCAGAACATGTTCTGCGCGGGGCTCAAGCGACGCGAAGTCTCAGAAAAGGAGCCAGGGCACCCATGGACCCAAAACACTGAGATTTCAAGCTTCATTTTCCTTACCCGTCCTGGCGTCAACACCCATATACAAAAACACAAACCCCAAGTGTTTAGGAAGAAACAAAGGAGTTATGGGTATTTATTTTTTCTATGAAATGAAGGAAGGAGAAAATTGGAGGTGCCCAACCATCCGATCGAGAACCATCATTACCAAATGGTTTGCTGTTTAAGTTGAACCGTGCGTGTCACTGGACACCACTTGTTGTAACCGTTACAGCCATGGCGGCTGTGAGCAACCAGGGTTCCCCAGCCAGTTTCTGGGCTACAGTTGGGTTAAACACTAATGGGTGTTTGAGAAAGAGGAAATTACCACCTGTTCTATCCATTTCTGGTGATTTTCCTGGGGAAAATAGATGAACATGGTGATGCATCGTCCAACAGTACCATTATTTTCAGCCCGGTGGGATAGTCGCCCCGCAAGGCGATCAGGCCGTGGCTTCCTTTCATCCCGCTCGTTTTATGCCTGTGAAGATCAATTCGGCGATAGCCACTTGGACGAAAAACATTTTTGGGGTTTTGGACCATCCTGGTGTGTTTTTTTGCCACCGCAAAAAACTGGCAAAAACAGTGGAACAAAAAACAACAGACGCCCCAAACGGGATCCAAATGGTTTATGTTTTTTGCACTGGACCTATTTTCTCCTCCCATTCCCACCAGGCGTTTCCGTATCTATGCCTTTATATAATTGCTTACGCAAGAGATGTCTTGAGGAGTATCTGGATGATTTTAGGTGTATGTAATTATGATGTATGATATATATTGATATATTATGTATATCTAAGTATGTTCGCTTACATATCGTAGTATATATATGTACATAAACCTGCGTCTTTAGATTGCAGCTTGACATGGCTCGACTAGCAGCACCAAGGATATGTCTCCCGTGAGCGAAGACTCTGATGAGGCAGAGGACCAAGACACCTCACCCCCAAAAAACCGCACATCATTTCACCAGGTTTATGGTAATTACCATCCCCATGGGTACCATGCCACCAACTCGACGCAACTCGACGCAACTAGGACGAGGAGATGGTGGAGATGCCGAAGCGCGCCTTCCCCGCCAAACCTGGGATGCCTCTCTTTGGCGCGCTGCATCAAAAGACCGAGGCCTTCCGCGACTTTGCGGCGCCGCGGCCAAATCTGAAACGTTGGACGATGCGGTTCAGCGACGAGGTTTACAATGGTCAACTATATTCAGCTGGGGTTGATAGCGGATACCATAGTTGATGGGGTGTACAAACATGTACAAACCGGATTATAACTTGGGGGCACCACCTCGTAACCACTACGGATGGGGATTAGTGGGTATATTGTGCTAGATGCTAGATTATGTGAGATTTATACTTAGGCTCTACAGGTAGACGTCACTTTGGGGTTTTGGGGTTGCTGGTCGGGGGCTTGAGTGGCCTCTAACCTCATTTGCCCTGACCTCAGATCGCGAAGTGGGGCTGATGTTGGTTCCCAGCACCACTGAAGAGAATTCAGTGACTGGCCTTTCCTGAGTGTCTCCTTCAATCTCCTTCATAGGTATGACGCAATCCACTTGCTCTTGCTTTGCCCAATATTTTTGCTTCCTTACCAGATTAGCCTGAACTTTCGGGCTTTTATGGACATCCCAAGATATCCCAACGCCGAAATTTTTGTTCATCCTTGGGATGTCCACCAGGTTACCAGGGTTTTGAAGCATTCCAATACTCCCGCACTTTTTCCTCCCCTTCTTTCGTATGATTGGGACATGGCATGACATCACTTCACCTTGAAGTCAATGCGCTGTTCCACTTACCTGGCTGGCACAGTGCATGGCATGTTACTAGAGCATGCACCTTGGTCTTTAATTGGGCTAGCAGATGAGTTTCGGGTGGATATTTGTACAGTCTGTCATGCTTGCTACTCCCGGCCTTTGAGGAAGAGATCACGAACCTTTTGAAGATCCAACATGCAGAGGCGCTGGCCCGCCCCCAAAAACGCTGCGGGAAAAAAAAAGGGCCTGTACGCAAGGTGATTCGCTGTAAATTCACCAGTCTGTAAATTAGTGCACCCAACGAGGATTTCATGGACGCCCATGTTTCCAAATACTGCCCCCAAGCTACGACCCGATCCAATCCCCTGCAGGTCATGCAACGGTTCGACCAGCATGAAGCTTGGTGAAGCGCCATGTTGACGATCCCCACCCGGCTCGATATATCTCCCTCTGGTGCCCTCTGGCAATCTCAAATGGCAATGGAAAATCTGCATTTTTATTGTCAAGCAACATCCTCAATAGGGGATTGTCCAGTTTCGCAGATGGTTGTACAATCCCAACATAGACTTAGAACCTGCCAAAAAAACGGGCAAGGGAAGACTACTTTCCTGTACATTCCCCATGTTTCGCCTAAAATCCACTGGTAACCGCCTCGTGTGTGCACGGGATTTTGGCTCGCTGGTGCACGGGATGGCCCGACTCGCCTGTGCACGGGATGCCCCTTCACTCATCCAGATCATTATGATTATATCATGATGATGATGATGACCATCATCATCATCATCACCATCCTCCTCCTCCTCCTCCTCCTCATCAAGATCATCATCATGATCATCATGATCATCATGATCATCAACCATCATGATCATCATGATTTATGATCATCAACCATCATGATCGACATGTTCATCAACATCATTGCCACCATTAACATTTTCGTCATGATCATCAACATTATCATCATCAAAAGCACCAACGTCACCAGAATCACCAACATTATCATCATCGACATAATCATGATCATAACTGAATCATAACCACCATCATGATCAACGTGGTCATCGACATCAACGTGGTCATCGACATCAACATGATCATCAACATTTTCATGAACATCATGATTTTCATGGCCATTAGCATCATCAGAATCAGCATAATCATCAGGAAACGGGCAAGGGAAGACTACTTTCCTGTACATTTCCCATTTTTCGCCTAAAATCAAAGCCGATACCCATCGGTACTCTGAGGATTTGTCGTTGAAGGATCTCAAGGATTGCTCCCAGAACCCGCTTTTCCGGCGGCCCTCCATCAAGCCCAAAAAGGCGCGATTGAACCAATGGAATGCCCTCCGGAGCGATGGAAAACCATGTTATTTTGCTTGGAAATCACGATCTAGATTCATGGTGATTTTCAAACATGTATTTATGTTAGTCTACTGGAGGCTAATCGGAATATCATTGGAATACCTTGGATCAGGGGGAATATCATGAGATATGATGGGACTATGATGGGATATACTTGACATACTGGACATTTATCATGTACATAAAAGGATGAAATGGAACATAATTGGAACATCCTTGGATAGTTACTAGGATACAATTGTTGACACTAAGATTGGAGGATTGAATACATGGGTTTTGGTTTGTATGGCAAATCAAAGGCAATTCCTATTGGACGGTCTAGAGGGTGCCTACTCCAAGTTGGCTTGAATGGGGGTGTCCGGTGTCCGCGGTGTCCGGATGTTTACTTTCGGCTGACAGGTCAAATTCGCTGCTGAAAAATTGTATGGTTGGACTATCTGATCTATCTGATCCATCTGATCAGATCTATCTGATCTATCTGATCTATCTGATCCATCTGATCTATCTGATCTATCTGATCCATCTGATCTATCTGATCCATCTGATCCATCTGATCCATCTGATCTATCTCATCTATCTGATCTATCTGATCTATCTGATCTATCTGATCTATCTGATCTATCTGATCTATCTGATCTATCTGATCTATCTGATCTATCTGATTTATCTGATCTATCTGATCTATCTGATCTATCTGATCTATCTGATCTATCTGATCTATCTGATCTATCTGATCTATCTGATCTATCTGATCTATCTCATCTATCTGATCTATCTGATCTATCTGATCTATCTGATCTATCTCATCTATCGATCTATCGATCTATCGATCGATCGATCTATCTATCTATCTTTCTATCTAGCTATCTATCTATCTACCTGTCTATCTATCTATCTATCTAGCTATCTATCTACCTATCTATCTATCTATCTATCTGTCTATCTATCTATCTATCTATCTATGCGAATAGAGTGTAAGCTACGGACCAATGTACATTATCATGTAATTCACTCTAAGACTCGAAGCCAAAGGGTTGCTACAATGGCCCTTATGGCTCAAGACCCCACTGCAGCTCCAGAACAAAGATCTGCCATGCGGAAGCCGCGATCCTTGTGAAGCCGTCACCGAAGCTTTTACTTCAACCCCAAGTATCAGGACATAATCGGACATACAATCGCCGATTCGCAGGTTATCAGCCGTAGGACTCCTACGGAGCCTACGAGCGGGTAGCCGCGGGCCTTACAGATGACTGAACAGGATAGCAGCGATAATGCATTTTCTTTCTCTGGACATGCCGTTGCACCAGCTGCCGGCACGCAGTCAAATTCTTCACAGAGTATCGACACTGGTGGAAGCGATGCCTCAGAATTGAGAACAAGCCTACCCAGGCGACCTCTGGTTGCTCCTAGAGGGAGACAAATTTCGACAATGCAAGCAATTGAAGATAGGGACAGCACACCTGGAAAGAGAAGATCATCTGCACGACAATTGTCGCCTCCGATGACTCCAAGGACCAAGGCAAAGACTACGTCGTCGAATCCGCCTTCACCGATTCAGGACGCTACTCCATCAGGAACAGGATCTTATCAACAAGTGAACGCCCCATCAAGTGGTAGCGACATCTTCACTGCCTATCAGAGTGAATTAGCTGAATACAAGACATCACTGGAAAGGGCCACTGAAGAAGAATCCGTACTTCAGGCAAGATTGAGCGAGACGACAGCATATGCCTATCAACAATTTAATTTCCTGGAAAGCACCACTCATCAAGAGATGATGTCGATGACCGAACAACTCCAGATGCTGAACTTCGAGTTACAGGCTGCACAGCAAGAAGACGAAGGTGCGACCTACAGGATCGAAGAGTTGGAAAGGTATCAGACTATGTCGAATGAAGCTGCATCTCATTTGGAATTCAAATATTCACGACTACGTTCGGAATTCGATGAACAAATGGGACAAGCAAACGCAATTATGGTGCATGTGGGCGCTGATGCGAACGCTCACATCAATCAACTCAGACTGGAACTGGAAAACGCAGAGATGAATGCCAAGCAGGAAGCTCTAGCGGTCGGCTATGCCAACGACCAAACATGTGCTTTACAGATCGAGATGCTCGAGGTTGCTAATCAGAACCAGACGATGAAGCACACCATGGCCATGAACGTCAGGCGACTGGAAACTGAGCTCGATGCTGCTGACATGAAGAGGGACGAGATCATGAAGGAGTTCCGTAGTAACATAAGATCTGAACATGACCGTTATGCAGAATGTGAACATCACTTAGCTTTGGAAGAATCGCAACTTCGATTGCAGGTGATCCACAATGAGAACTTACAATCTCGACTAGCGATTTCTGAGAACAGGGTTTCTGAAGAATCTCTAGCTGAATCAGGTGGCATGCGGGACATGAGGATCATGGGACTACGTTCTGAACTACACATGAAACAAAGTCTTTTAGATCGAATGCAACAGCAACTGACTGAATCGAAGAATCAGTATCATGAACTTTCCTGTCAACAAGCCAGAAGATCATCACCAAGCAGATCACCGCATGGAGGACCTCTCTATGAGATGTACATGCAAGCCGTGCGTGAACGTGACAGCTTGAAAGAATCCAAGGCCGAAGTTGACAAGTTGTACTTGCAGAATAGATCTGAACTCATTGACACTGAGGACCTGCTCAAAGTATTCCAGCGAAACTTTGATGAAACTGGTAAGAAATATCAAGATGCTCTGAACAAGATCGACCACATGAGTAACAATCCGAATGTGACGAGTACCTTGTTTGACAGTTTGCACAATGAAATCAATGACAGGGATACAGCTATTGCTCGCCTTCATACTGAACTTGAAGCCCAAAAGGACTCTCTTGAGCGTGCTCACAGGGATGCAGGTAAGTCCATCAAGATGTTGAACGACAGAAGACTCGTGATCAAAGGTGCGACTGACTATTCCATTCCTGAAAGCCATTTGACCGAGATGCATCAATTGGCCAATGAGCGTTACGCTGAGGTAGAAGAAATGTCGAGCACTATTGCTGCCCTGAAGTTGGAAAACCAAGCTCATTCTTCTTCATCAATGAATAGACCGACTACATTACTTGGGTACCCCAGTAATG